TCTGTCTATCTGTCTGTCTGTCTGTGTCTATCTATCTGTCTATCTGTCTGTCAGTCTGTGTCTATCTGTCTGTCTATCTGTCTTTCAATTCATTAACATTAGTTAATGCATCAGGTATCATGTCCTAACAACAACACCTTATATATTAATATATTAAATATATATTATATGTTATAGCTGTATAATGCTTGTTCACAATATATAACACTATAGACTATATTATGAAAAATGTGCATAAATGAACTATACTATATTTATAAATAAACATTAAATTCAACACTGTAAACATTGTGTTGTTTAACAAATGCACTAACAAGCTGATCCTTATGATAATGTGCTAGCGATTAATTAGTTGATGAATTTCCAGGAGATGGAGCAAAAGACATTTCCAACATGACTAAAGTTTAAACAATATTTTGGAAAGTAATGCCACTCTTTACCACTAGAAGGAGAACGATTTCCGCCAATGCACATGTTACTATTACTACTACTACTGCTACTGCTGCTGCTGCTGCAGCCACTATGAGTGAGTGGTAGCAGCAATAAATATCACCGCTAGCGGGGGTATTAGATGAGCAAATAAAACGGCAGTCAGGTCTGCAGCAAAGATTCCCTCGATTTGTTTGGACTGTATTGTGTTCACTTTCAAACAGTGCATTTTTATTTTTTGAAACAGAAAATATATTTAAAAAAATGAGACCTGTGCTAAATAAATAGATAAACAATAGGCTATTCAGAAATGGCGTTTTATCCAGAATGACACACTAATCGCAGGGTAGCCGGCTGCATCTCTTTAAAGCGTTCAGTGGTAATTAGAACACTTACTAACTACACTCTTAAAAATAAAGGTGCTTCAAACGGTTCTTCAAGCGATGCCATAGAAGAACCATTTTTGGTTCCACAAAGAACCATTCAGTCAAAGGTTCTTTAAAGAACCATCTCTTTCTTACCTTTTTATAATCTGAAGAACCTTCTTTCGCCACAAAGAACCATTTGTGAAACAGAAAGGTTCTTCAGATGTTAAAGGTTCTTCATGGAACCATTTAGACAAAAAGGTTCTTCTATGGCATCGTGAAGCACCTTTATTTTTAAGAGTGTAAATAACTAGAATTTTTAACATATACTTCAAACTGGCCATTTGTAAGTGACAAAGAAATGTTTGATCATAAGACTTTTTTTAAATAAGAAAAAAACTAAGTTCTGAGACCACACAGTTTATTATTATTATGTTTAAAAAAAGTATTTTGAAAAACAAAATATCAAATAAAGTTTATGTAAAATGAATAAGAAATATTTAAGATTCTTAACTTAATCTTCTGCAAGGTCACTAGTCCGAGTCTCGAGTTTGAGTTTGAACTCGGTCAGGCTTTCTTGCTCCTCTCAAATCATGAAACTATCAGGTTTAGTCCAGTTTGAGGGCTGAAATATGAATTCATGCATGTCTTTTCTTTCATTTTTGTAATAAATCAAAGTCTATGACAGCATGTTCATTACGCTTTTGGATCATGTATTCATGATCCAAATGCTTTTTACATGCTTTCTAACACACGTCGTATATCACACTTCTGTATGTTGGTATTTTTGTTAGTGAATCTGTATTGGATTTAGCAGACCAAAAGAGGACAAATCTATACTGAACTCTTTCAAAGAATCATTGTTATATTCAAAAGCATCTATAAAGCCATTCGCCTTTTATTCCGCACATTTTGTGGTCTCTCGTTCAGTTTAAAAGCCTTCGAATCCACCAATGGACTTTGAGGCTGCAGATATTGGGATGTAAATGAGGGCAGAGCGCGTGCTGGCGCAGTGAAAGCGTCCGATTGTTTATTGAGCTCGCAGAGCCACGCGCCCGGCTCGCGGAGCGTCACCCGGCGGAGGCGGAGTCTCGCGCAAGAAGCGTGCGTCTTCAAAGCGGGGTGGGGTGTCGGACGCGTGTTGAAAAAGCCGAGAGCTGCCAAAGTTTGTAGCAGATCCGAGGGACAGCAAGACTCGGACCACAATACTCCCGACCGAGCACGCGAAAGGCACAAAAGTTGTGCGTCGCTAGTTTTTTTTTTTGATTTGCCAAAAAGCATGGATACTGCGCAAAGTGCATGCAACGCGTCCGTCATCCTGCAAGAGAGCGCGAGCCAATCCATGTCGAAGGTGCTGAAAAGACAGCGCTCGAGCTCACCGGAGCTTTTGCGCTGCAAGCGGAGACTCACGTTCAACGGGCTGAGCTACACCATCCCGCAGCAGCAGCCCGTCGCGGTGGCGCGACGCAACGAACGCGAGAGGAATCGCGTCAAGCAGGTCAATATGGGATTCCAGACGCTGCGCCAACACGTCCCAAACGGCGCGGCCAATAAGAAGATGAGTAAAGTGGAGACGCTCCGGTCGGCGGTGGAGTACATCCGCGCGTTGCAGCAGCTGTTGGACGAGCACGACGCGATTACAGCCGCGTTCCAGCGCGGCGTTCCGTCACCGACGCTCTCGAACGCCTACTCGGCCGATCCCGAGTCGCCACACTCCTCCTATTCGTCCGATGAAGGGAGCTACGAGCACCTGAGCTCTGAAGACCAAGAGCTGCTGGACTTCACAACTTGGTTTGATCGCTACTGATGAGATTTTACAATCCTCACCTAAACATTCCAAGGGAACTGCACGTGACTGCATGGAAAAAAGCCAGTTTATGTGTTTTGGAACGTGGTTGCTGGTTTATTGCTGGCATGGTGGTTGTTGCTGGTGCAAGATGATCTTAGACCTGCTAGAAACCAGCTACTGTGTTCCCAAAATAAACCTGGACTCTTGTAAACTTCACAGATGCTGCTTTGTTGACTCTATGGGCAGCAGTCTGGGACGCTGTGGCTTAGTGGTTAAGCTGGAAAAGGTTGTAGGTTCAAACCCCAGTGGGGTCGATGAGCTTCTACAATTGTGAAACAAGTCAAGACTGCTGGATGAACACATTTCATAAGTGCAATTGTGGGCATGATATGTTGATGCAACTGATGCCGTTTCAACTTCCCTAAGAATGTCAAGTTAATGGGAATATTGATTATTACCTACAACCAACTACCAGGTCTGCTTAAGGACCTACGTTGAAATTTGTACAATAACTTTTTGTATTGTTAAAGATGAAGATATATTTTTGTAAGCGGAGCACAACGGCCTCTTTGTGACAATGAACGCTGTTAGATTGTTGTAATAATAATAACCGTTCTGTTTAGATCAAAGCTGTTTTTAACACTGGAGAAGAGTTGATCTGTATTTATCAAAATTTTATCGTCTATAGATGTAGTTCTTCCTGTGATACATGGCGGACTTTTTCAATGCACTTGTCCATTTTTAGTAGTGTACATAAATTATTTTAATAAATATATTTTGTGGAAAAATGGAAATGTTTTTATAAATAAATCTGCTCTATTTATACGGATACGTCAGTGTTTCTGGTTGATTTTTAAACCCAATTCTAGACGCTCGTCTCTTAAAAATAAAGGTTCTCTAATGGCATCGATGGTTCCACGAAGAACCTTCAACATCCCTTTTCAAAGCACAAAAGGTTCTTTAAAGTGGGACAATGTTCTTCACACTATGAAAACGGTTCACTGGATGGTTCTTTTAGGAACCAAAATGGGTTCTTCTATGGCTTTGCCGCAAAAACCCTCTTTATTTTTAAGGTTATTTGTGATAAAATCCCTGTGGATGTGGAAGAATCACAAAACACCCTTTTTGTCTCTTAAATACAAAGACCTCCAAAAGACACTATACAGAGATGGGCTATTTCCACCCTTTCTAGGGGTCATTTTGCGATGACAAAGTTGGGTCAGAATTCTCATCTGAGGGTGATTGGTCTGTTTTTATTGTCAGTCTATAACCCCAGCTGAGTTTTTCAGCCCTGTCGAACCAAACCAAAGAAGCCATTTTGCCATTGTGCCTCCCCACAGGTGCCTTTATGCATTTGTGTAATGACACTCCTAATTGTTAATAATTGAAATAATGACTTGAATTTCACCTGCAGGCTTTTACATTTCAAACAAGGCCAATAAAAACTCAGAGACCCCATTTAATGATCCCTCAGTAGGCGGCCCATCTAGAGTTTTAAAAACTTAAATTCGTTTTAGTGGTTGTAAAAGGCAAGATAAAGATCTATTAAGGTCCTCCAAAAACAGGCACATACTGATGCCCCCTATCTCATGCAACGGGGGCACTGATGCCCCCTCGGCCCCCATAAAGAGATTTTCTAAGCAGGTGTGAGCCACGTGCCTGTGTTTGGTGGGACACATCTGCTCCACCCCATTGGCTAGCTGACGAACCCTCTCGGTTGGAGTTTAAAAAAATAAGGGAGTGATTTATGACGGCAATTATTCATCTCTTTATGGATTCTTCTATATCTTTTAGGGCACCAAAAGAAACATATACTCAGCATAAATCACCTACTGGTGGGCTATTGTTTAATTCTGAAATATAGTTCATCTTCATTGACCTTCACGGTGTCTGAAATGGCACGTCACTGTGTTTTATGCCGGGCCAACTTTAGTTTCTAAGAGAAGGAACACTTAAAGTGTGATTTATGTCATGTTAGTGAACTATGACTGCTGGATATTCAAGTGCACCCCCAGGAAATTAGAAAACATACATGATTTTTCAAAAAAAATTTATTTCATCCAGATTGATGTAATCAAAAATAATTTAATCCTGGAAAAATAAAATAAAATAAATTTCTCATGAACATAATTTGCATAATTAGATCTAATTAACCAATGACTTGAATGTATGCACGACTATTTACCTGTTATTGGCAAAGAAATAAGCCCACAAATAAGCATGCAATATAATATAATGCAGTAAAGAAATAATTCAACAAATAACTAATAACTAAATACTTCATATGTTACTTATAAAAATGAAATATCTATCTATCTATCTATCTATCTATCTATCTGTCTGTCTGTCTGTCTGTCTGTCTGTCTATCATTCTGTCTGTCTGTCTGTCTGATCTATCTATCATTCTGTCTGTCTGTCTGTCTTATCTATCTATCTATCTATCTGTCTATCTGTCTGTCTGTCTATCTATCTATCTATCTATCTATCTATCTATCTATCTATCTATCTATCTATCTATCTATCTATCTATCTATATATCTATCTATCTATCTATCTATCTATCATTCTGTCTGTCTGTCTGTCTGATCTATCTATCTATCTATCTATCTATCTATCTATCTATCTATCTATCTATCTATCTATCTGTCTGTCTGTCTGTCTGTCTGTCTGTCTATCATTCTGTCTGTCTGATCTATCA